CTGTGAGGGAGATTCCAGAGACTGCTCCGATGTTGACTGTGGGTTGGTGTGGAGGTTGCTGGTCTCTGGAGCTGAAGATCCAAGGGATGGCACCTGGTTGCTGGTGCTGGGGCTGATGGTGTCCAGTGCTGGAGAACTGGGAGACAGCCCTGACAACACCAGGCTGCCTGTGTTGGGGCTGATGGTCTCACGTTCTCTGGAGACCTCCGAAGGCTCCAATCCTGACAGTCTGGCCGTGCTGGGGCCAGCAAGCTCCAAATCATCTCTGGAGGCTGGAAGGGGAAGCAGGAATGTCAAGACCACCCCAGGCTCGGGACAGGATAAGCCAGAGCAGTGTCCCCGGCTGTCCTGGAACAGACAGGCTCTGCCAAACCCAGCCTGGGCACCCAACGCCAAGCGCAGGGCCACCTGGCCCAGGCTCACCAGGGTGCTTTGCCTCTTACCTGTTCCCAGACCAGCACAGCCGTCACATTCCCATCTGGTTATGCTGTTCCTCAGGCCAGAGCAGTGTCTGTGGGTGCCCTCGGCTGCACAGGAGGAGCACAGGAGCAGTTCCCAGGGCCTGGGGAAGCAAATGACTTTATGGAGCTGAGGACAAAGTGTCCAAAGTGTGGGATTATCTGGCTGAGCTCTACTCCTGGGTCGCTCTGCTTCAAGCCCTGCAGAGCCCCAGGATGCAGCTTTGGCAACTTACCCTTCCAATTCTGCCTCTTCTCTGCCTCCTGGAAAAAGGCACTCTCTGGCATCACAGTACCTGTGCCTGTCTCCTTGCTCGGCAAATGCATTACCGCCCTCCCATGATGGTGGTCTGATGGAAAAAGGAAACCTGATGAGCTGCCTCTGCCCCTGCATCAAGCAAGTGCAGGGTGTTCCATGCTCTTCCCCCTCTGCCATTTCCAGCTCCTGCGTGAAGCAGAACCCTTGCATGGCACAGCACTTGCACTCCCCTGTGTTGTGAGCCAGGCAGAAGGACACCAACCTGAAGGGGATTTGGATCCCCATGGTGAACAGACTCTTGACAAATGTGTTATTATCCCTGCAGAGGGGGCACCGGAGGGATAAAAAACCAGCATGCAGAGCCTGTCCCTGCAGGAGAAACAGGAGCAGTCAGAGTGAGGCCCTGGTGCTGCTGAGACCCTGCTGACCCCATGGGGGTTTAGGGAACCATTCTTACTTGAATACAATCCCTGTGGAACCAGGCGTTTTTGCACGCTGGGCACACCATGGTATTGAAGGTTTTTCTTTCTTCCACGGGCTCCATGCAGATGAGGCATTCGGTGCCTGGCTCTGGAGTCACCTCCACTGCCTGCTCTGGTCTGTGTGTGGGGCAGAAGGACCTGGGGGGAAAAGGGGTGGGTGAGGAGAGAAGTGCTGGGCCCTTCCCTGGTGGTGGCCAGCAGGAACAGGAGGTACCTAAATGGTCTGATGAACTGGGTGACACATCCTCCCTGATTGGCGCAGGGCAGGTGGAAGCTCAGGTCACAGTCAGCTTCACAGCAGGTGATGGTGGCCCCACTCTGGCCACAGATGAAGCAGCTCTGGAAAGAACAGAGCAGTCCCATCAGCAGCAACCTCAGGGCCTCATCCTTGTCCCAGAGCTGGCTGAAAGGGCTGAGCTTTCTTGCTTGGGGTCTGGGCTAAGCTCCAGCAAACCTCGCCTGGCACAAATCTCTCTGCTCAGGTCAGGCTCTCACCTCCTGTGCTGCCTGGGAGACTACATCCAGGATATCGCTTCGGCGAATAAACCATAGTCCTATTCGATGAACTGGGCGGTCAGGAAGGCGGCTGGCAAAGAACTGCAGGAAAAATGACATGCACTGATGAGGAGAGAGCAGCAGGGGCTGCCTGTTGAAATACGTAGGGAGCATCCAAAGCAACTCACCAGACAGAACTCGTGCGCCCAGAGCCCATGTATCTGGATTTTTTCACCACAGATGTCCGAGTCGGCCTCTGGTCGTCCACACAGCAGGCACGCTGGAGGGGAGAGAGACAATGGCCCAGGGCATGGCACCTCTGCTGCCCACCCTGACAGCCCCTCTGCCAGGCTGCTGGAGGGGCACTTTGCTCTCACCTGGCTCCCTCACTTCGGGGGTCTCCTCCTCCTGGTCTGACATGATGACTGTCAGCACGAAGTCCCTCTCCTTGGAACACCCAGGTCTCCTCCAGCTGCTCCTGCACTGGCTCTGCAAAAGAAGGGAGAAGTGGCTCCAACAGAAAGGCAATAGGGAGGCCCTAGCTAGTCTAGGGACCCCCTAGGCTAGGGCCCCCCTACTGCCTCAGAGTGCTGTCTCTGTCCGCCTTCTCC